AAACCAACACCACACACCTCGAACGATCGGTATCAGAGCCCTTATTGTACACACCACTTTTCCCAGGATACCCTACACCCCCCGAAGCAGGACTAATGGATATTCCTGCTATCTTTTCCTCCCTTAGCTCACTCTCTGGAGATTATACCTCTACCTGAACCACACTTAAAGATCACAAAGGACCATTAGAGGAAAAAGACCCCCTGCGCCAGGCACAACTGGTGTACAGATGTGTGTATACATGAGTATGAATGTAACAGACAGTGTTGTGGAGAAACTAAAAGTGGAGACGCTACCAAGTATTTCAGTAGCGTGACTGATTTTAGGTTAACAACTTAAATACTGTTTTTTTAAATGCTACAAGTGAATTTAGGCATCACATTAAAATGTACAGAAAACATTTAACAGTATTGATCAATTTGTGTTTTTAAAGATTAACTAAGTTACCGATAGATGGTGGCAAGGTCAGAAATGGACTTTTCCATCAAGGGGCAATATTTGATTTACAGGGGCATTTTTTTTCCCCCAAGTAAATTTTTAGTATTTCCTTATTTAATACATCCGTGTTGTCTTATAATTAAATTATTGTATTTATTTACTTAACTCAATCAATCAGAACACTATAGATTGTTGCCAATAAAATTCTCTCCAAAAGTCATCTTTATACTGCAAAGGACGTACAGCAGCTGCATCTGATATGCCATGTACAATCACACAGACTGCTCAAAGGTATAGCATACAACAATTTCAAAACAATTTCACTTTAATGTGCTTAAATACAGTAGCTTCAGTGCATTTGTTGTTATTAGCTCATAGTATAGCTAACTTCTTTTACAGATAGGTAGCTGGACTGTAACTTATCAAGCTATAGTTTTAAAGTGTCCAATGCAGTGGTTTAGGTTGATCCAAACACCACCTGATGAATTATATATATATAAATAAAATGTAAATTCATGCCCCGGTTACACTTAAATGTATCAAATTTTCCTAATTAATGTTCCATTTATTAAAGCCATGAATAAATGTCATCAAGGTAGTGTTTTTACACATATTTACATTTATTCCAAAATTCCAAACTTAAAACAGTAACAATTTAAACAATATGATGTTCAGCTGTTCTTTTTAATAGTTTATTTGTTTTCATCAGTCATCAAGCTTGGTAAACAATGTCACAGACACGATGATGTACCTTTAATTCCAGCAAGCTGATTGCTCACTAAAAAACCCAGCCATAATGTTTTCATGTCATTGCAAGTTTGATTTTGACGTGACTTAAAGCGATGATATTTAAGTGGCAGAGTTGTTTACTTTTTAATTAGTCTTCTCAATAACGGCATAATTTTGTTCATTCAGGCCGATTCGTAAAAACGTAGGAACTAATATTCAATCATGGCGCGATGGAGGCTTTCCCCCATTCATTATCAATTACCCCCCATAAAACCCAGCGCATGCTTTAGGAGGTCAGATAAAAGTCAATGGGCTCTGGGGAGGCAAGAGACGCGGACTCCCGCTGTAACTTTACCTGCGGGTGTCGCTGTCGAACAGTGTTACTTTAGAAAAACAAGTGATTTATACACTTTTTAATAGCACATTTTGTAATATTTGTGTTGTTTTAATTTTGCAATATGGATTTTCTCATCCAATCATTTTGAGGCGGCACTGCCTTTCTTGCCTCCTTGGAGAAAACACCCCTGCTAAAAACATGTACTTGTAAGTACAGAGAAAGAAAACTCATTTGGTGCGCAATGTGCTTTCCATTCATTTCTACAGCCAAACCGCACAAAACGAAGAAACTCTTTGCGCCAATCATGCCACACAATTTCAAAATAATGTGTGTAAGATGTCGGAAAGATCACCACACACACCACACATTATGCCAAGACTCTGTGTTAAATGCTGGAGCAAACTAAGACTAGAAGAATGCAAGTTTTCCCTGAAGAAAAAGAGAGGAAGGAGTAGGACTGAAGGGATTCCAGTCTGAGGATGAAAAACGAGGAGAGAGCTTGAACAGATCTTAAAATTCCAGTAGAAATATGTGAGGCAAAGATCCTAACCCTCTCTGGCATCAAAGTGCCTTTTGGGATCTAACAAATACCACAATTATACTAGAGTCCCCCACAACAGACCGTCATGACAGACGAACATAAAAGACTCTGAGCCCACTGATAGTAAAGAGCAAGCCGACTGTTTATGTGCATGTTTGCGTGTCCAGTGTATCTGACCACAGACGTGGCAGCAAATCAACCCTGCTGCTACACCTCATTGGCTGCTTCCTTGTTTCTGCCTTTCAGCATCATTTAATACAGAATTTCCCTTATACATCTAGTCCATTGTTTGGCATGGCTAACTTCATCGCTCCACTAAAACGGCCTGCTCTATAGCTAAACAATCTAAACAACAGATGCCGCTGTACCTTGTAACATGCATGTTATGAGAGAGCCTAAAAAGAAGAATGAGAAAAATGTTTTGATTGTGCAGAGAGAGATTGAGGGCTATGAGCAGAAGGTGACGACCCTAATTTGGACTGGATTTGTTTCGGCAGTAAATTAGTAGGGTTAACTTGATGGCTGGCTTAGATTTATTGGGAGGCCCAACGTTTGGATGTCTGTGGGTCAAAATAATAGCTGAGATATTTCATACTTCAACAGTGGCATGCAACATGTGCACTGGTGGGATGTCTGTGAGAGAATGTATGATTAGGGCTGCACTATTTTGCCAACAAAAATCCTATTGCAATTATTTTGTCATATAATGTGGTTTGAATTGTAATAATGATAAACCTCTCATATTGCTGATGTCTAGGAAAAATAAAAGAAAAAAACCTAAATTGAAATAAGATGTGCAAAAGCTAAATAAAAAAGAAATGCCTTTTTTCAAAATCAAAAAAAAAAAAAGTTACTCTTTACAGGTGTTCACGCCTACACGCCTACACGCCACACACCAAATCAAAACATACCAGTTCTCCTTGCATTCAGTGTTGTAGTACACAAGTTCAGACAAGACCACGCTGCATCTGAAATCGGATACTTCCCAAATATACAGTACAGTATGCGAAAAACAGTACGCCAACAGAGTAGTATGTCCAAATACAGTTAGAAAACAGTAGGCGAAAAGTACCTGGATGGCTTACTACTTCTGTCGTCTGTCGTCTTAGTCATAAAAAATATGATCTTGGACTCACTGTTCACATGTACCTGGACCTTAAAATGAACATAAATGGTCCACTTCAATTGCAATAGTGTCTCCATGTTATGTCTACAGAGCTAAATCTGTTGAGTGTCTTGTGTCCAGATGAAAACTCAGATTAGACATTTTGGCAACACACCCATGCAGGACTGTATAAATCCAAATGAGATGGCAATCCCCTCTGAACTACATGAGAACAAGTAAATTACACTATCATTTTTGGGCAAACTATTCCTTTAATTCTCATTCTTTCTCCCTGCCTAGTTTTGCATGAATATTTTCACAGCATAACACGTCTATATTGAGACGTTTTGTTGACAAAGGCCAGTGCTCAGTGTCACTATCATCATGCTGGCTTCTCCCAGACCTCCCATGAGTTTCGTTTAGAAGCATTCAAACGGTCATCTTTAAAAGGACCAAACATTTCTGACAGGGGAATTGGGATGTTATTGAGTTTAATAAGCTGTGTCATGAATGTGTGTTTATTTAACATCTACAGCAATGATAAAATGACTGGAATGTCTTCAACCATCAAAGGTCCTGGCTGTTTTTTCCTGCTCTGACATCTGCCTTGTAGAAACATCTATGGGACTGAGCCTTTTACTAAATAGCTGACATATCTCGCAATAACTTTCCCACAAACTTTATTTGCTCAATTTTAGTTTTTGGGACAGGCTCTGGAACGCTTTCCCTTCAGATTATTGCCCGTTCTCCCATCCCATTTTTTATATATCCCCCAAGATGCTACAGAATCAGTGTAGCAGAGAATAGTGGAGCAGCACAAATAAGTACAATAAAGATCTCATGGGCACTGCACTACTTATGATGCTAATAAACCTGAGGTTAAAAGAAGCTACAAGAAAGGTCAACCACATTGTTTCAATGATGTTCTAGATTAACCATTTCCAGGTTGCACTCCCATGAACATCAGCATATTGAGGTGACCTTTTTGAGTTTATGTACTCACCACCCCCTATGAAAATATTGGAAATGCTAACCCTTTTATTGCAAACGGTTTTTACGGATGGAAATCGTAATCTCATTTCCTGTGTGTGCGATCCTGGAGCTTGCTGTGAAGAGGCATCCCAGTTAAATTGTGCCACTGAAAACCTGCTTTTCCCATGAAGTCATATATAGGCAGCGACTAAAGGGATTTATGGGGCACATTTCAGGAGCAGAGCAAAGCAATCCTATTCCGTGAGAAGACTCAATGTACCATGTACTACGAACATGAACACATGAAAGCCCCTCAGAAGCATTAGGCAGAACTAACATCAATTTTCCGCTGCAGATCCCATCAACATTGAGACTTATCATACCTCATCTCACCAACTTCACTTGCTCGTTTTTGACAACTTGTAATACATCCAGTACTGATTCACGAGTAGTATAATAATTAAATACGAACTGCAAAATATATTTGTTTATATTAAAAATGTATAATCCTAGAAAATATGATATTGATGACTCCTCTTGTTCATATGGGTATATGCACGTTTTGTGTTTGTTTAGGACATTGTGTTGTCTTTTTCACATCTGACTGAAACTGGTACAAGCAGAACCCTCAGTTTTTCACAACCTAAGACATCCTGCAATCAGAGCTCCAGATCTCTCCTCACTTGTGTGAAGGCTACCGGCTATTTAAAAAAAGAACAAGCCCTTCAGAATGTCCTGCCCTGACTTTGTTTCAATAGGACATACATCAACACAAAAGAATACTTGTCAAACCATTTCATGGAAACATTATAGGTTAATTTGTTCATTTGTCATTTGTTCTTGGGGTTTATATAAAAGAGTTCAGAGAGTGATTGTACCTGAGAGAGGGGTCGGGACAGTCTGTGACTCTGTACGTTCTTCTCTTCTGAGGACCAGGAATAGAGCTGCAGGCTGAAAAACAAACAAAATTTAGCTTAAGTACACCCTACAAAGAACATGGGACATTTCTGAACTGGTGTTGAATTCAAGAACACTTTGAAGCAAACTACAGTTGACATGAAATGGGTTGCAGTTACATGAACTTGAGGCATATAGTTTTTTAAACAATTCAGAAGGCAGAAACTGGACCAAGAAACTCAAGAGAAGTAAACAAGAATGTGAAACTACACAGACATGTTAGAGAAAAATCATGAGTCACAGGCACTTACCTCTACCAGAATTATTGTATAATATACACTACCATTCAATTTGTGGTCAAAGTTTTTTTTTTTTTTTTTTATACTTATAATATTTTTATTAAGAAAAATAATATTCTATTCAGCAATGTATTAAATTGACCAAAAGTGACTAATAAAGTTAAACAATTTCTATTTCAAATTTTATTTTAATTCTAATAATTTAAGAATTCTTTTTTTTTAAAATGCAGGCACAACCATTTTCAACATTGATAATAATAAGAGTATGAGATCATCAAGCTCACTTGTCATAAATATTACTTTAGTCATACTTTTACTGAGTTTTTTTCTCATTTTAGAGCCTGTTCTAGTACCAGTGCACTTGCAAATTAAGTAAATTTTAAGTAAAATATACCTTGTGTTACACCGAAGAAAATAAGTAATAGACACTTGAGAGCATCACGAGGGTGAGCAAATGACAGAATGGGTGACTATCCCTTTAGCCTTGAAATGATAGAATTTAAAATCATACAGCGTAAATTGTAATGTACAACAATGATCTTATTGGCTGGGCGATATCAAAAGCAACAAGTTATTGTCTCAACGCCATGCTGTGCTGTAATGCATTTGCCAGCTTAATCCAAAATTCATTAATCTAGTTCATAATCCATCGCTAAATCTAATTAAATGAGCTTCATCAGCAGTGACATGTGGAATGTGCTGCAGTCTGTCAGGGGTCAGACATTTACAGTGTTAAGTCTGAGAAGAGCAGGTAAAGAGAGAGAGTGTGTGTATGTGTGTGTGTGTGTGTGTGTGTGTGTGTGCATGTGTGTGTGAGTGCGTGCATGTGCGCATGTGTGAGAGAGGACTTCAGGAAACAGACAAACGAACATTTCACCTGCAGTCAAGCACTGAGCTATGACCCACTCATCAACCATGTGCCGACTCTACTGGAAACCTAGTACACAAAAAAAAGATCTCCAGAAGGAACTTCTTGAGGAAGCAGAGGAGTCTTAACATGTCTCCTGTAGAATAACTTTACGATCTAAATCTCTAATCATAAAGTTCCCTTTGTCAGTTGAATTTAAAACTGCACTGTCTGAAACTGCATCTATTTTGTTCACCCAAAAATGAAAATAGCAAATTGCATGCCCTTATACCATTCCAAACCCGTATGACTGAGAATGTCCAAGCTGCTCTTTTCCATACAATGGAAGAGAATGATGGCAGAGATTGTCAAAGGCAATATTATTAAATCCCAATATACTCACTGCAAAGTTATTTCTCTCTCTTCTCTTTGGGCTAAAAATAACCGAGCAGCGGTACACTGTTAGCAAATATCCCGATGCTGCGGAGCAACATTTAGATAATAAAATGTGCGGCGCACTTTCCTCTCAGTAACAAAAACAACAACAACAAAAATCACAGCAGTGAGAAAACAACTGTTAAGAAAGCACTGATCATAGCGATATTTTTGCACCAGCTCTGCAATTCGGCACTATCCAGTCAAGTCACGTGATGTTATTGTTACCACGATAGCACTTTAAAGCTGCTAAAAAGCAATCTGTTGTATATAGTATTAAACATGAAGAAAAAAAAAAACAGTACCAGTATCACTGTCAAGTAGAATTACAACCATAAAGCAGCTCTCCAGTGTGTTCATGTTTTTAATCACATCTGACCTTGATGGACTGAACAGGAGAATTAAACCAGAGAAGATTTCCACGTCAAATGCGGAGCCCCAGAACACACCAACTGTACCCGTTACGTAATAGTCACAGACCAATGGTAGTTTGAAGGCGTTTACCAGCGATAGTGAACTTTTCTGGAAAGTGTGATTTGGCAGGAAGTTTTGAACTCTAGGAAAACTACAAACGAACTTTGTTTTGGACTGATTTTGTTCAAAATTACATCAGACCAGTCTGTTCTTTGATTCCTAAGTATATCGGGGCCTTTAGTCAATAATGACTTAAATTTTAGTCTATTCTAGATGTCCATTTTCAGTTTAATGTTTCATAAATAGCTTCGGGTCTGTAACTAAAGAGAAATATCATATGGGTTGGTGGAAAAACAACTGCAGTGTTTTACCGCTGCAGTCAACAAAATTTATTTTGAAGTGAGTTCGAGAGGAATATGTGACTTTTACACCTGTTTATCCATCAAAGTTTTATAATTGGTAAGTATGTGCTTTTTCTCTTTTGCAGTGTGCTGACTGCTGAGGGGGCCACTGTGTCTTGATGAAACTGTTTGTTTACTGATCGTTGCATGCAATCCTAAAATACAGCATATTGCAAAAATATATTTCCTGTGAGAAACGGACTTTGGGTTTGTGTCGGGCTTTAAATGTAACTGTACTGGTCAAGTCATATTAACCAATATCGGTTACGGGCTGAGTTCAGGCTTCAATTTAAAGCCTGTGCAGACCTCTAGTCAATCCCTCACTCAAATTTTAACATATACCTTCAGGAGACTTGGAATACAGCACACAAGTCATTTGGCCTTACTTTTAGTGTTCCTGGAGCTTGAAAGCCGTAGTTACAATCCACTTTAAATGCATGTAATAAAGCAGCTTGTACATTCTTTTAAATATCTCTTTTTGTTTTCAACAGAAAAAAAAAAAAGCATTTGCTGAAGGTCTTAATATCAACTAATTTCAGTCATCCAATCTACTCTTAATTAATGGATTGAATTTTCTTAGCAAACATTTCTGTTACAGAAATACTCTCTCTGTTTGTACAGCTGAACATTTGAAGTAATTGAGAAATTAAAAGCACGGTATAAAGCATCAGTCATGAAAACATCAGCCGAGTGCTAGAACATGATTCCCTAGAATCTTCATGGAACATTGATCCTACAGTGCTGTCCTTTACATTATCAATAATACTGAAGGACCACAAAGAGAAAGCATGCTTATTTAAATGTCCATTGCCAGCAAGCAATCCTGTATAAACAAATCCATCTTGTTGTGTTACTGTTATAGTAGCAGACCTCAGAACTCTACTAAAGTTGTTCAGTTGTACCTCTTATTGGTGGGTGTGATCCTGCCCCCTTTGCGGTCGGGGCTGGGTGGAGGCTCAGGTGAATATGGGCCAGGAGACAGAGACGCTGGGCTGGAGATGGTGTACTCTCTGTAGTTCTGGTTCTCATCTCGACTCACCTGCACAGCCTCCTGCACATCCAAAGGGAAAAAACACAGATCAGTAAAAGATCCTCCTCTTTGAATCACACAGTTTTGACTGGTAAACACGGGATATGTTGATCAAATGTGAACATTATGTGGTGACGACCATCCATCTCTAGCCCTGGGCCTTCAGGTCTTGCTTATTGTTAAACCCTCATGTGTGCCTTCTTCACAATGTCGTTTCTTCACAAGTTCTCACATGGTCGTATGGAAGGACTACGAGACTTATGGGGCTCCCAATCCTTCCGATCCTAGTATCTGTTACAACAGAGGCCCGTCAGCAGCCCCTTTAGCATTTAAAAGACAGGAACTCTGTCTGATTTATAACATTCCCAAGTTCCTTTCTCATGTCACGGATGCAGACATGCAGAATTATTGCCGTACAAAAATGATAAATTATTCTTGAAAAAAAAAAATGGGGGAAAAAATGTCTTATTTGAGCTCTACTTGACAAACTATAAGTCTTTGATAAGCAGATAGTGGTCCACCTTCTCTTAATGGATACCAGGCATGCTTCAAATCTGAGAGATCCAAACACTAAGCCTTGGGTCAGTGGTTTAGTAGAGTAGCAGCGCACTCACGACAGGCCAGTAACAGCGATGGACTGCTGTTTTGTTGCTTCTTGCACTCAAAGCAACATTTTGAAACATTTTGAAAAAAGAAAAGGACATTAATAGGACATTAGATGCCAGCTAATTCAATACAGTATACACTACCGTTCTCACCAAAGCTGCATTTATTTGATCAAAAATACAGTAAAAACAGTAATATTGTGTAGGATTACAAATGAAAAATAACATTTCTATTTTAATATATTTGTATATTTGTAATTTATTCCTGTGACGGCAAAGCTGAAATTTTTAGCAGACATTAATCCAATCTTTAGTGATCTTTCAAAAATTACTCTAACATACTTTTTTTTAGCAATGTTGAAAACAGTTGTGCTGCTTAATATTCCTGTGGAAACCGTAATACATTTTTTCAGGATTCTTTGATTAATAGAAAGTTCAAAAGAACAGCATTTGTTTTAAATGGATTTTTTTTGCAACATTATAAATGTTTTTTACTGTAACTTGATACATTTTATTAATAAATTTCATTTAAAAAAAATACAAAAAAATGTACGGACCCCAAACTTTTGAACTGTAAAATAATATTGTGGTTCCCAAACTAGGCGTGCATGCAGAGTTATAAAAAGGGGGGCGTGACAAGGCTAAGGGATGGGTTAGGGATGTACAGTCAGCAGATTGCTATAGAAAAGAAACTGATAAGAGCCCACTGCGAAATTATGCCGCTTATGTGGCACAAAATATGACATTTTACATCTTGACATTTTATTCTCAAGATGACTCATAGTACCAGTTTGAGCAGTTTTATTTTTGCCAGGTAAACGTAAAGTAGACGATGAATCTACTCCAAACATCACAACTACCAAAACAACATCAGTATTGAGTGGTACGATGCGACCAAAGCAGATAAAACCCTTTGTAATCATTGATGCTGTCTACTGGATGCAGTGCGAGGTGACATGACAAATTTCCGACAGTAAACTGATTCCCCGTTCTATTTCTGATGTACTCCAAGCACTCGCGCAACTTCTGACAGAACAAAGGACAAATGGATTTGGAGCGTTCGCTTTGTTGCGTCCAGTGTAGACAGCCTCAAGACAAGAAAATATGACGCAGCATATCACCCTCTGTTTTACCATTCAGTGGGTGATGAAAAGTACCACAGGGTGCTTCGTGCCATTTAAAATATTAAATTCAGCATATAATTATAAAGACACAATGGCATAAACAAATATTCAAGATTAACTTGAACAAAAAGCAAATACCAAATCTGTGACTGAAGAACAACTACATTTAAATAATAATAAAAAAATATATTTTAGCCACTCCTCTCCCTCTTACAACCTTTGGTCATAAGCACAGGCCCTTTGCATGAGTCAAAAATGATTCTGTCATTTACTCATAATCATGTTGTTTCAAACTTGTCTGACTTTCTTCTGCTGACTTTTTCTGAAGAATGTTGGTAACACTTTGAATCTTTTTTTTTGTCCCCTTTTGACTTCCATTGTATGGACACACACACACCACACACACCTTAAAATACCGTACCATATGTTCCACAGAAGTCAGTCAGTCATACAGGTTTGGAATGACTGAGTAAATGACCGAATTAATTTTTTTTGGTAAACAAACCCTTTGACATTTGTTTTTTTACTGACCTGGAAGCGGCCAACCAGTTGTTCTGTGATTCCATTTGTCTGACCAGGAGTAGGAGGAGCAGGTCTGTGTGGAAAGATTCAAACATTAATACAAGGCATTTTATTTTAGTATTAAAAGGATCAGTGTGTTTAAAACCAAAATCTGTAACTTTAGTGCAAGTTAATCTGGGTCACTTTCTAAGCATAGTTTTATGATTAAATTTCTGGACAAATTTGACAACCAGGAGATGCAAGCATGTTTTATAAGTCAGATAGAGTACGTTCCTATGAAAAAGTAGCTGGATAAACTTAAAACTAAAGGAAAGAAAATCTGATGTTATCCTGAGACTTTTTCGGCTACCAAGTAAATCTGACAAAGAACCACATTGGAATCCCCACTGCCTTTCTTCAGGAACTAAAGGTAGTGACATTTTCTTTCTCATCTGGAAGTGCAGATACTGGTACATTTAACAAAATGCAGAATGATAATGAGCGTGAATACAAGTTGATGAAATTCAACAGAGAAAAGACAGACTTGTTTAAATACATTAGCAGAACTCGTGACCAGGAAGCACCACATGTCTGAAAATGTTTATTTATCTTAAAATTAATCCCTGGCATGTGTTCGCTACAGAAAGCTCTTTATAGCTTCATGAGCAAGGACTGCCACACAAGGGCCTGATTCAGAGCTGGTGCTCTGCATCTTCAGAAACCAGTCAAACCCTGGAAGGCTTTATTTCTCATAAAGCCAAGATCTGTTTTGGAAAAGTATTATGTTATTTCTTAAATTCTGCTATAAAACACCCACTTGTATTCTTTCACTCCGCCAGTTAGTTAAAAATAAGAATAAAAATTAAATTAAGAAAATGGATTCCCTCAGGCCACAAATCTGGTTAATTTGTTAAACTATTTCCGCTTCAAACTAAACTAGAAGCTTTGGTCCAATGAAGATGCTTGACACTCCTGAAACCCACACTTCATTAAGAGTGCTTTAAACAGTCAGATTTAATCCAGACCTAAAGAAATGGAGTGTTTCCATTCCTGTTAATGAGATGTTTTACTGCGAGGCCAAAGGAGAGCATCCTCCTAGTGATGCCAGCAAAAACAAGACGTGAACAGCCCTGGCGGACACATACATTTGACTCAGCCTCTACCTTTTGCCTTTTCTACTTCCAATTGCTTGATCTCTCTTACTTTGTTTCACTCCATTTCATCCTAATGTCACACTCCCTTTGATTTATTCTTTCCTCCTATTGGATATTCCATTTTCCCCCTTCACAGATTCTTCTTGTCTCTGGCTCAAAGCTGAGGTGGTCTGTAGCTGAGCTTTGGAAGCATCTAAATGCAGAAATATTGTTGATGCGTGGGGTGGTATTTTTAAACAGACTCAAAACAGTACGGTAATACATTATAAACATGACTGAAGCTCTAGTAAAATACTGCACTGTGCTGATGCACAAATCTGTCTCAGCACGACTCCACATCAAACTGCAAAACTAAATTGTTTCCATTAGTGTAGATTAGATAGACTGTGCTGTTACAGTGTCCATGGTTTCTGTTATTTGTTAAAAATCACACTGCAGACATACATTTATGTTCAAACACCATGTAAAAGTGAATTTTGCATAATATGTCCCCTTTAAAAAAGACATTTTCAGAGACAGGAGAAGAGATTCTCTGAGAAGAGACAGTTACACTTGAACGGAAAGATTAACTAAAATTCTCTCAACCTGCCCATCTTGGAGAGTATGCTAACAAACACGTCTTAAGTGAACGTAAACAGTAGAGAAAGGCAGCGCATGTTCAGTATCAGTGTACTGGATCCATGCATTATGTCTTAAAGTGACTGCAGCCTAATATTCCTACTGTGTTTTAATGTTAAATCAAACAACAAAATACAAGAAAAAAAATAATCACACACTGTTTTTGACTGAATAGCTTTTGTAACTTAAAAGAATCTTTATTTAATTTATAGAGCAGATTATACGCAATGTTATTTTACATTTGATTACTTTATTCAATTTCTGTACCTGACAACTACTATTAGATACCTTAAAGCTGAAAAGCACTGTTTATTTTATTTGTATCTTTTTGCTCTATTGTATTTATTTGTGCTGTTTGTACTTGTAGTTTGATTACTTGTTTTTATTTATTATTTTTATTTGACATAGCACAAACCTAACAGCACTGAAACCGTGACCCTAAAACAGTGATAAAAACCGAACCATGAGTAATATGAAACATTACACCCCTAATCTACACTGTACAGATACATACAGTGATACTAGCCCAATAATTCTGTGAAAGCTCAATACTGTTGAGTTGACATAAGAACAAATCAGAAAATAACAATCCTTTTCCAACTGCTTTCACTCTGGTCGATACTCAACACCTCACTCAAAGAACTTGAGAAAACGCTGTTGGAACAGAAAGGCATTTTTACACCGACGACATTCACTTGTGTGCCCCGTTCAGTCCTCAGCAAGGCCATCAGCAAGGATTGAGTGTCAACATATGAGCCTCAGGCCCCGTCCACACTACTGCGTTTTCGTTTAAAAACGGAGACCTTTTGCTACGTTTGCACCTCCCGTCCACACTAAAACGGCAAAAACGGAGACCCAAAACGGAGAAGTTTAGAAACGCTGCCGATCCGTTTTTCGTTTTGAATCTCCGGAGGGCGTTTTAGTGTAGACGGGTCCAAACGGAGGACTTTAGAAACAATGACGTAGTAGAGGCTCACACTCGGCTCTATGATTGGGTGTCATCAGTCATGGCGTATATCTTTGCTAGCAGCTGTTGTACAAGTAAATTCTGCATTTTACAACGCTATAACTGCCTACATGCGCCGGAGTCAAGCTATTATTCGAGCGATCTGTGACAATTCCCGTGTGCAGCGGCGGCGTTGACCGTACATGGAGCGTCGGTTTGGGGTTAACCCAGAGCATGGTGGGATAATTTTATCAATGAAGTTGTGTTTGCACCGGCACGCGCATGCCCAGTGTTGGTGAATGGTCACGTGATCCGCGTTTTCAGTCGTTTTAATGTGGACGGAGATCAATTCTAATACGCAGCTAAAGCGCTGGTGTGGACGGAGATCGTATTCGTTTTAATTATCCGTTTCTAAACTAAAACGCAGTAGTGTGGATGGGGCCTCAGACTAAAGTTTAGCATGATATTGCTGAAGAGGACTCAAACAAATGCAGCAGCATGGCTGATTTCATGCATAAATTCCCAGCAAAATTCTTAGCAAATTCTTCCATACTGCAACATGGTTTCTGGAGCAACTGGACATTTATTCTTTGGAAGGCGTTGCATCAGAGCGTCTTTTTACTGCACTACATGCACTGCAGCACTCTGGTCATATTTTCAACTCACTAGAAATTAAATCATTACGTAGAATCTACATAATGTCACAGAAAAATGTACGATAAAATAAGAAAAGTAAAGAAAAAAAAACCTATAAAACCACATGAGACAGACATCAAAGGGTCTTTACCAGCTGGAGAGTTAGAACAGGAGCCATTAATACTAGACGCTGTAACCCAAAGCCAAGAGTTATTCGTGACAATAAAGAGATGAAGACCTCCTGACCAGTGTTGGGAGTAACAAACCAACTTTAGCAGCAATACCAACTTACATTTTTTTAAAGTAGCTCAGATACTTTCAAAACAATGTACAGTAGCTTTTGCAGTAAAAGGTTTAATGGTGTTCAGGCCTATGTTTTTGTGCGAGTTTCAGTAGGTGCTGATAAACTGATTTGATGCAGTCTGATTTGCAAGAGAAAACACTTTAAAAACAGCTTAAGGAAACTCTCATTCATGCCAACAATTCTTCAAATTCTTCAAACTGAATTCAAGACACGAGTCAATGTCCCTCCACTATTACATAATGTAGGCAAGTTTTTTGGTAGGATGGATTTTTCAGAAAACTAAAGAAACAAGTAGAGCAGGAAACTTCCATAACTCTGTATCCAAGTCTACTAATTTGAACTTAGAGGGCAGACACACACCCTCTTCCTCCAATACTGTGGGCTACAGGAGATACACACACACACACAGTTAGAGTGCCATTGTCGGCCCAGTGTTGTTTCTGGCCTGGTCAGAGACATGAGGTCAGAAGGGAAAAATGTACTCACACGGACACAGGGCATGTGCATGTGTGTGAGAGAGCAAAGGTACAATTGAGGCCAGAACTTTGTTTACTGGTGCTGACATCTAAAGATGAGCAAAATTGCAGACTTCAACTAGTCAGTAAGATTACTGAAAAAGTAGTCGACTAATTGATCTTCTTAAGAAAGTCCTGCATAATTAGACTGGCTTGGGTTCATCTGACCCCAATGTGTTTTAGGGGGCGTTTATGGAACTGGTGTTTAGGAGCAGCTTAATCATATGGAACAAATTTCTAGCTCCTTCAAACATTCAGTTGTTACTGAATTTTGACAAAGACAGTATATATACCAAGACGGATCACTATAAATGGGAGAAAGTGCAATACAGCAGAAAAAGTTCTGCCTCCTAAATAAAAGAGCCAATTGGTAAAGTTTTAACAGCACTGCAGCTGCTATTAGAACCTCTGGTTGCCAATCGAAAAGTGAGTATCCTGAGATGTGCGCTTGGGATTGGATTTTTTAACTATTTGAGCAAAAGAAACAATTAATAATTAATTCTTATTAAAGCTACAGAAGTTATTCAGTCAAGAACAGTGAGAGTGATATTCTCCTTGTTCTTTGATTAACATTAATGACACAGAAGAAATAACATTTATTGGAAAATTCATGTCAGATATTATTGTTGGATTAAAATTAGGGATGTCAAAATTAACGTTAATTTGGTATGGGGGTGGGTTCAGTTTAACGCGTAAAAAAATATTTAATTAATATTTAACAATTATTTTTTCTGTCATCCTATGGCTGCGCTACAGTATATGATCACGCTTTAATTAATTCAAGTGGAAGAAGATGCAAAAATCTGTACTGGTGCGCTGTCTGTGATGCGACTCTCTGTGAACAAACACCCGAAACGCACACAAAGAATACCGCTTCAGATAGCGTGCCACTGCCGCAGTGAGTTCTCTTTCGCACTTGAATGGACAAAAACACAAAGTTATGTCAAAACTCCCAATTTCTTGATTATCCTCGTAAGCACCTTCCCTGTCGTGAGGTCTTAAAGTGAATTGAAGACCTCACGACAGGGTCTTCTGCTGCTGTCTGTCAGCAAATAATTTGCTGACTGCTGACAGCAGCAAATAATCCTGCTGCTGTCTCTCATTAATATTGATCAAAGAACAAAAGACAGAAAATAGCTCACAGCTCTTGACTGAATAACTTTTCTAGCTTTAATAAGGATTAATCTATGCTCAATTTATAATTTGTGCAGTAAAGACTGTGCAATGTTTGATTATTCAATTTCTGTATATCTACCTATTAGGCACTGTTTACAAGGTTACAAGGGTCAGATCAAGTGCGCTTTGAACCGCTGAGCCTGGTCCGTACGGATCAACTACAATCCCTATACTTGACATTTTCTGATGTGACTATCGCAGATGCGCACATCGCGATATCGATGCTAAAACATTGCAGCCCTATAAAAATATATTAAACTTTAATGTGCGATTAATCACACATGAAAAATGTGCGATTAGTTAATTAAAACATTGTTTAAATGTGTTTGGCAAGCCATTTTTGAGACTTCGGTTTTCCACAATACAAGTATAGAGGAGTCTTGCATGCCCAAAAGAGCTAGCTGGAGGCATTGACAATATGGCCACTGAATGAACTGAAGTCACTTTTGAATGAAAAGACTTTGATTTCGATAGATCAAAATTCAAGCATCGCTGTCATTTCAATCCAGTACTAATGCACTTGTACCCATTACTGACCACCTGAGAAAGTATTGAAAGAAAATTAATGTAAATAAAGCAATGTAAATAAAGAAAAAAAAAAGGGACCCTTACCTTTCTACGAGCAGTTGCAGTTGTGTCGTGCAGCTCTTGATTTTGTTTTGTGCCTCTACATTCAGCATCTCGCCAGTATTGAGGCCATTAATCTCCATGATGATGTCACTGGGCTGAAGACAGGCCATCTCTGCCTTACTGCCAGCGTTCACCTTGGGACAAAAAAAAAACAACAACATTCAACCAATTAGAACTCGGACTCTTTAGTCTGAACAGCAAATAGACCTTCAAAGTATGTGGCCCAATAAGAAGAAAGCTATTGAACTAGTGTCAATAAGGTATTCCATAATATATGCAATTATTTTTGCCAATTCTACTCATTTATACTAAGGTAACAATATGCAACTTGCCAACACGTGGGTTGAATTATTAGTAATGTTTTTTTATTGTGTATATTTACTAAAAAAATTTATTTTGTTTTACAGTGTGCAAATTTAGTTTTAGCGCCACAGAATTTTTACTTTTACAATATCACCCTACCAATGGGCTTACTTATAGTGGGGTTATAGTTGGCAGAATCTTAAAAACAACTGCAAGGACTGCTGTCAGTTGAGCAAAGCTTAAAATTCCCTCAAGACTCAGTCAATAAGGCCACAACCTCATTAGTAGCAAAAGAGGAAAGCAGCCTGACTCAGCCTGCTTTAAAACACTCAAACAGCATGGCACAGAGAGGCCTTGAGGACTGCCAGTCAGCTGTTGATGTTAGCTGGAAGCAGTAGGGCAGAGGTGCCATGTCTGAGGACCTGATCGAGTGCCAATTAACTGTTGCTACAGAGACGCACAATGGAGCGCGCCTTATGTAATCAGAGTACTCCTCGCTTCAAGCAGAGCATCAATATACCAGTTGTGTAAAGTATTTGAGCAAATGTAATTAGTTACTGTACTTGAGAATCTTTTTGGCTACTTTGTCGTTTTACTGAGAATCAAAGATATTAGCAACTTACTCTCTACTTGACTACATTTTTGATTAAGTATATATACACTCTTTACTTCAATACATTTGTGATGAGTAGTGCAATTACTCGTTACATTTTGCATGGCACCTTTTTGCGCAAAACCGTACTCTTTGATCTTGTGCAATTTGCCCTTGCTCATACAAACTTTTCAAAAAGGCTACTTTACACGAATGTGACTGCATTAAGGGTGCTTTCATATTAGAACTTTTGGCACGCACCAGGGTGCCATCAGAGAAAGGCAACGACAGGATCGCGCAAATTACGGTATAACAAATATTTGTATTTACCCTATACATATATACATAACACATTATGCATCTAATAAAAATAATTAAATCATGTTTATTACATAGACCACTTGTATATTTAGTTGACTATTGCAGCTATTAATTGACTAACAGATTTGAATCTGCACTGTCATTCTAAACTAAAGCTGAACTGTCATTCAATATGAAAATAAATTTTGATTTGGTTAACCATGTACAAATTTGTTCTTAATTGATGGTTGTAATAATTGTAGCCGTCTCATCTTGTGCGCTTTATTTGCACGCTGCATAGAAATATTCCTGAGGTAAATAAAGTTAAATAAAAAAAATGACAGCGCCTCAGCTGCCTCAACACTTAGTTTGTTCGTGTCACCAGTCTGAACCAACACTAGCAATGGAGCAAAAACAGTTGGGTGATTTTCACTCTCCACTTCCTGTGAAGTGATGTATCGATGTTCCCTAATTCCCTATGCCTTTCGGACTGAACATGTTCGCTCCCTTCGGATTGGAATCTCACTTAGGATTTCGGAATACTCTGAGAAGTTTACTTCTCAGTCCACCTATGGTCAACTTAAGGTGTGTTTGTGTGCATCTGACTCACTTTCCTGAGAAGCGTAACTGATGCACTGCAAACAGAGAGAATGTATATCTCATTTATGCTTGCCCTTAGCAGAAATAGACTCCCGCATTAAGACTATTTGCAGTACATTCACGGCAGATAGAGACAGTGCTGATGCTTTAAAAACAAAACCAAAAGGTTAAAAGAAAACTAAATATAAAAATGATGTGAGCAACGGTATGCATTTTGCTGCCTTCTCCTGCCTCGTCGTTACAAAGCAACAGGGGTAAAAAGCTGCTGTTTTGATGACGCAAATGAACCGCGGTTCGGACTAAAATAATATGTGAACAATCCAACGGAGGCAAGGAGAGGGGGGCGCAATCGGGTTCAGACCAAGGAATTAAAGCAAGTGTGAAAGCACCCTTATATACGAGATGAGGACAAATGAGGCTAAACCTTTCAGTATAAGAAGGCTTTGACTATTTAATTTGACTAAACATTATTATATTTTTAGTCTGCTTTATTGAAGAGACCTTTTTGAAGAATATTGATTTACTTATGTCTTTTTTGAGCACTTTGTTTACATTTAAGAGGCTGTTGTGTCAACCTTGATTTTTTGCAATTTTGAAGTTCAAAATTATTGCTCTCACAAATATTGTTTTTCACTGGCATGTCTCTTGGGTGTAGAGGACTAGTGCATCTTTGAGCCTACATTGAGTACGAGTTAAATACTTAAAGGGATACTCCACCCAAAAATGAAAATTGTGTCATCATTTACTCACCCTCAAGTCGTTGCAAACCTGTATGAGTTTCTTTCTTCTGCTGAACACAAAGGAAGATATTTTGAAGAACGATTGGAACCCAACAGTTGTTTTGGCACCATTGACTTCCATAGAAGAAAAAAAAAATACTATGGAAGTCAATGGTGCCAAAGTTCCAATCGTTCTTCAAAATATCTTCCTTTGTGTTCAGCAGAAGAAAGAAACTCATACAGGTTTGCAACAACTTGAGGGTGAGTGAATGATGACAGAATTTTCATTTTTGGGTGGAGTATCCCTTTAAGTACTGTTAAAATCAGATACTCAAGACTTTACTGGAATTAGTGACTTTTAACTTGTCATTTTCGCAGTAAGCTATCTGTACGTTTACTCAAGTATGGTTTTCAGGTACTCTATACCTCTGGAATATACTTACCCTCAGTGTATGATGGCAAAAACGACCTGAGAAACAGATTACCCTCATACTTAACTGCAGAATTTTAATTTTGCAATGACTGTCAGTGAAGTATTTTTTATAGGAATATCTAAGTCAATTGGTAGTTTTCAGGAGACAGTTTCTGAGGTGTGTCTCTCGCAACCCAAATCACAACGGTGTTAAAACATGTGAAAAACTTGAGGAATCATGGGGGGGGGGGGGGTCAGGAAGGGTTAGTTCAGACAAAAACAAAGCAAGGAGGGGAGCACAATATTTGTGCCCATGCCAAACTTCTGCCACTACAGTCTGACTTGGGATAGTTCACCTAAAAAGGAAAATTGCATCAAGCATGTATGAGCTTCTGTTTACCAAGATAGAGATAAGATAGAGATAAGAAAGATAAGATAGATGGATGTGCATTGATCAATGTTTATGTGTGAATATAAGTCTAAAATAAATCTGTTCATCATATAAAGCGATCATGTCTCTCCAGAAGACTTTATGGCTTTATGAACATTTTGAAGTGTCAAAGGTTTGGTTACCTGGACTTTCAATGGAGGGACAGAAATCTCTTAGGTTTCATTAAAAAAAAAGGAAAATCTTATAGGTTTGGATTGGAACAACACAAAGGGTGAATAAATGACAGAATTTTCATTTCCTAATACTAACCCTTTAAAAGTAGGTTTGAAACAGAACAATAATGAGAAACAATAAGGATAATGAGAGGCACAACATTTTAAAATCTCAATGTTTTAAGTGGTTTAAGTTTAAATCCAATGGTATTCTGGATTACAGTGCAGACGTGACCAGCATATGAAAGGAAAGGTTCCATTAGCTGCCTTTAATTAGAAACACTGTGGTGTATTTCTGGATCACAACATGGAATTAGTTTTTGTAAAAACTGAAAAACTTTTTTTTACTTGAGAGGAACTGTTTTAATTCAATTTGAAAACTCTCCCAAAGCCCATGAAAAAACTAAAATAAATGGGTTCCAGACTAGGTGGCAGAAGTACAGCTGATTCTGAACTTCTCAAATGAAAAACAGTCTTTCAAAAATGCCTGAGTGTTAAAAGCTTGAACACAAAAAAAGTGGATTGATAAACCTGTTGTGAGAGACTCAGATTCACGTAAAAGTGTGAACCTAATGATTCATACTGTGGCTAAACCTAACTGTAGCTTAAGTTCAAAATATTTTCTATTATTCTATAAGAGAATGGAGAATACTGGTAAGGAATAAGAAGGGGGAAAACAATAGCTTGACCATCCGCAATGCAACACAATAACCAGGAACTTCCTCTTTAATTATCCAGTTCTTGTTTGGTTGAAGTAGTCAAGGAGACAGAATGCAAAACAGTTAGACACCAGTGAATAACTCAAAAAGGAAGGCATTATATTAAGCGTTTAGGTATGAAGGTTCATTGCCTTGATCACTAATGCAAAAATCAAGGAGATGAACCGTTCTCTGGACTGGTTAACAGGGATGAACATTACCTTGGAAACGGTTATGGCCTTCTTGAAGTCTCGCCCTCCAGATATTCTGAATCCCCAGGGAGATGGGCCAATCAGATTCACTGTAAATGGCATCATGTGATGACAGGCTGCTACCCAATGCTCTCAGGAGTGCTGTGGGATGATAAAAAAGGTGTGTGAGAAGAGAGGCAAAGAAAGGTGGAAAAAAACAACAGATGCAGAGACTAAGTCAAGTTTAATTTGACATCAAGTTGAAATGCCACAGATGCGTCTCATAGTTTCCACAGCTCTGAGCAACTGGCTGCTGTTGAAAGGTAAACTGCTTTCACCTGTTCTTCAGAACACCTTTCATCCCATTCCACATGACTGCAGCTCAAATCCACCGACACTGTTGCAACCAAGAGTCATAGAAAGGTGCCACATGACTGACATTCCAGGATGAATCACCCATAAGGAGAATGTGAAAGCACTCTAAGAGTCAGTTTGAGTTTAACCCAAAAATGTAATATTGTCTTCATTATTGATGATTAAAAATATATATTATTTTAGCTAGGGATGCACTAAAATTTCGACAAACCGAAATGGTTTGAGGGCCGAAATCAGTGACTGAAACGGATGTTTAATTAGTGCATCTCCGATGGCACATTTTGACTGTGTTCATGGATAAGCTACAAGAGTTAAACATGTGTCAGCTGTGTGGACAAAGCTCTGGATTAATATGAATTACTTGCTTTTAATTGGTAATGATATGGTTTATTATATCTAAAACCTTTAAGTCTGTTCTGTTTTCTGTTGATGTGTGAAAAAAACTTCACTAAACATTTGTAGCGAGCCTGCCATCCAATAAGTAGTCTCAACTTTAAAATGGACGATTTTGACGATGAAATTCAAACAAATGTCTTTATGGCGATCTTTAAAATAGTGTGACAGATCAGCGCCTCAGTTTAAGTGGCATCACGGATCAACCGGAAATGAACCGATCATCTTATCTCTTCTTTACTAGTTACAGCATGAAATAAACATGGCTGAACCCCAGAAGGTATGTTGAAAGTAGGGGTGGAACGGTACACAGAAGTCACGGTTCGGTTCATACCTCGGTTCAGACGTCACGGTTCGGTATGATTTCGGTACAATGGAGGGAAAAGCAAAACAAAAATGCAGAAGGCATTTTTATAAATGTCTTAAGCCTTGTATTTTTTAAATAAGTTTTATTAATAAAGGCATAGAACCAGTTTATTTGTAGTGCACTGACAGTAGTTTTATATAATTCGTTTATAAATTAAATTATTAAAAAGACGAAAAGACCTTGAGATATGTTTGGTAATTGTACCTGAATGAATTTAAAATTAATTAGCTATTTCAGATCAATATATTTGTTTTCCTTCATTTTAATTAACCCTAACTTTATTCTCATCTGAATTATAAATTATTGATTTCCGTATAAAATAATACTACCATTAAAAACTTTTGTTAACAGTTGTAGGTTACAGTTTGACAAGAGTTTAGAGTGTGACAAAAGCACAATGTTGTGTTTTATTGCGAGTGTACACAAATATAAGTAAACAATTTGCAGTTTTAATGATGTCCTGTATGAAAAAAATGACGGAGTATGTTTTTATGTTTCCACTGTTCATCGCCCGTGCCTCTCTCACACACACACACACACTGTTCGATCGCGCGATTCGCGCCTCTCTCTCTCTCTCTCTCTCTCTCTCGCGCGCGCGCGCACACACACACACACACACACACACACACACACTGTTCGATCGCGCGAAAGCTATTCAATGTCAATGAACTCAGTTAGAACATTTTTCTAAATAGGCTATATGCACTGTATTACATACAGATGAACAGATTAAGTAAAAATATGAGTAAGTCTTCATTTGATGCATGTTTAAATAAATCTGTTATGAAAACAAGTTATTACAGTCTATTGTTTAAATGTTTATATTTCATAAAGTGGAGTAGAAACATTGTCATAAAAATTAGATAACTTTTTAATTAACAATTAGTTGTACAAACAATTTAAATGTTTGTACAACTCTGTTTTAACTAATTGTTGTTTATTATAAAAAAATGTGATTCATTTATTAGCCTTTTTTCCACTGATGAGCCATCAAGTTGTCTGACACAGCTCAAAGTGTGATTTAAAATGTTAAAATAATAAATCCATTTTAGAGTTTGTTTTAAACAGATAATTAGATTCAATCCGTTTTAAAATGTACTTATTCACATATGAATGAATGTCTACAGAGCTACAAAAATCAAGAAAACCTCATGGCAAAATAAAAGTGCATTAAACCATTACAATCTTTGCAATGTTGGTAATTTTATATCAACAAAATAATATTGCAGCTACAGCAAACATTCATATTAAAAATTCAGCCAGCTCTAGTGTTGATCTTAGTAATCTTGAACATTCAACGATGAGCTCTTTGGAGACACGATGGTTCATAGTTCCCATTTGAATGCCATTGGGACCAAAGCAGATTCTTTTCATTTACACAGCCTCATGTCGTTCCAAAACCACAAAACTTTCCTTCTTCCATAGAACATAAAAGGATAAATTAAATTCCATGTTCGGCCAAGACTGCGCCGGTCGCTCTTCAACATGCAACGGACTACTTGCACTGAGCTTCATGACGAGAACTTCATTTAAAAGTATCATTGCATTTTTCCTATATTTCCTATTTGTTTATTCTAAAAAATATATATATTTAAAACATTAAATCTCAAAACATTATGGAGTCTCTTGAGCTTTATTAAACAGTCTATGTAAATGTATTTAAACGCCACTTCAAATGCAGCTTCTGTTTCCTCAAGTAGAAAGATGCTGATTTCAATACCGATTTGATTGGAAACAGCCCTATAGGGTCTTATTATTCGAATTAAATTTATTAATAGAATTTGACATGAAAGACGACATTTAATAAGGTTAGGAAAATAATTCCTCCTTTTGAAGATTAAATAATGCTTTGGAAATCAATAAAAGGGGGCAAGTAAGAGCTGATAGATTACTAAGAATATTGCTTCAGGGAGAAAAAAAAAATGACACCACATAAAAAGCACATAAGGCTTAATGTGGAGGCCTGCAATGGGAGTGCATTGTAGCTAATACAGGCTTAAATGAGGTTTAAGGCAGTGGTTTTCAATCCTGGCACTAGGGACGCAGGACCCACGTTTGAAAACCACTGTTTTAAGAGATATTCTAGGAATTTTGTATGATCCCTATTTGAATACTGAAGACTTAGTGAAGCACTAGCCTGCAGCTGCCTTGAACAAGATCTCACCAAGGTGTTGAACTATTTACCTTACAGCTAAAACATGCATGGACGCTCCAATGCAAAGCTTCAAAAACAAAGACAAGTGACTTACTGTATGGGAACCGAATTTGTTGTTAGCATATTGGCTCTGAAATGTTATCTGCAATCGTTTTATCAACCTTGTTTTTAATTTGTAACTTAAATATTCCAGGCTTCCGGTTTAATGCATTTTTATAATTATAAAATGTACTGGTTTGTAGTGGAAATAACTTATACTGCACTTTGTTATTCTTCTAGTTGATGACTCAGAAGTGCCGCACAGAAAATATCTGACTTCTGTGTTGCAAAATAAAGTGGATAGCCATTGTAAATATCTCAGATTAGGAATATGCTGTAAAACTACTGTTTTAAGGGGTGGGCAGATTGTTTCTCCTTTGATAATTAACTATAAGGTTTACAGCCTTTATCTCTCCCTGTCGGTCTGCTTACTCACCCTGATTTGACCTTTGATAGTTTCGATATTCTTATGCAACACCGAAAATGTCTCATCAAAAGCCTCCAGTCGGTCAATCATATTCTTGTATGCACTACAATTTCATATTTTAAACCGGCCATTTATTTTGGCTCTCTGATATTGTACATTAGGAGTGGTATGACAAATATTTTATCACTTTAATCTTTTAAGTCATCATATCATTGTGATCATATCATATAATTTGTATCTGGAAATTCCACAGCAAAATGTTTTACATAACTACATAAGCATGTGGGGTTTTTTTGTGTGTTTTTTTTTAATTCAGCCTATATACACAGAGAATCTCACACTTGATCGCAAATTCAGAAAAATTAAGTAATAAGTGAGCACGCATTTTTATACCGCGCATACAGCGGCTCCCCGATTCCCGGAAATTATAGTCCACAGTACGTGTGATCGTGAATTTAAAAAATGTAAATGCAAAAGTGAAATAAAAATGCATTTCATATAGATATATTTTCCACATATATATGCGTTTTATATATTTTATGCAAAAACATAAGTGAACCTCAAAGAACATGTCAAAATATATATCTTTTTAAATCCATGTCATGACCCTTTAAATATCAGCGCATCCCTAAATGTAATATTTTTTAAAATAATAGTAGCAATCTAAGAGACATTAACTACTCGAAAACATTTGAAACGCACCTCTGTATTGTTTTTACTCTCTTACGTGTAAAGCAGTTGTGATGACCACTAATAGCCGCAAATCCAGTATATTCAGCTGTAATATTATAAGCATAATCTCTACCAGCTGACACCTTTGTACAGTTACACGACAGTGATATACAACCCGACCTTATTGCATTTACAGTATCAACTGCATTTTGAAAGGACCACATGGTTCATTCAACCTTGATAATGATGTAATTAAAGGAGGAATTTAAAGAATTTTGACATGTAAACACTGTAGATAGGTCACCGTCTGTGTCACACTGTCCTGAATTTAATATGAACAGGAGAAAGTGTGTGAAAGCTTGAAATTGGCTCCATTCACGGGACAAACATAAACCCACACCAAGAGCAGTCTCCCCTACCACCATGACCCAGTTGAGGCTACGGATGTCGCTGCATTCTTGGAGAGTTTGGTCCGAGGGAATGCAAATCTACCCCATCATCAGCTCTCCAGGCAATTAGCAGCCTTAACGAGGCCTCTGTTCGGGAGGATCTCTCTTAATTACTGTGGGCTCCAGAGACTCGGGCTGCTCTGCGTAGCTATTGAGTTTTTATGTAATCACAGAGGAGGCGGCAGCCACATTTCCCTCCCTTCAGAACCTCAATTAATCCAACATGTTCGAGTGGATCTTCGGCTGCTCTCATTAGCACCAGCTGAACTGAACAGAACATTACTA